TCCTCAAGGCACCTCTTGCTGGGTCGCTGTGTTCACAGCCCCTCCTCCCGCCCTCACTGCTGCCCTCTCTCATGGAGCCGGCTCCTCTGGGCGTTTGGGGAACGTTTAGACCCGCATCTCAGGCCTCATCCCTCTGCTGCTCACAACCACCCACAGCCCCGTCGCCCTGAGCATGAAAGTAAAACTCCTCCCGGGACCCGCCTCTCATCCTCTTTGTCGCCTTTAGACACAAACCAGGCCTGGGTGTCCCCACCTCCCGGCTCAGTCCCCCCCACGGCCTCACCCGGCGGCCCCGCAGCCCGTCGCCCTCCTCCCCCCTCACACCCCGGGTCCCCACAAGGACTCACTGTGCTGGACGCTGCGACCTGGGCTGCGGGACCTGAGCGGCGCCGGGAACAGAGGCTGGAGGGTTCAATGGGGTGAGACTGAGTGAACTCTTGTCAGCGGAGAGGAGTCGGGGAGGCACGGACGCCCCAATCCCGCCGGTTTGGGGTCAACAAGCCTCAGACACACCCTGCCCAGCGGGGCCGCTGCCTCCAACACCTCCTCCTACTCGCCACCAAGCGCTGAAGCTCGTGAGTCTGTGAACCCACAGAAGAGGCCAAAATGACCGCCAGGAGGAGGAGGAAGTCCCGCCCTAACCGGATGTGAGGGCACCAAAATGCTCCTTACCTGGCTGACTCTGGCGCATTGCTTTCTGGGTAATGTAGTTTTCGCAATGACCCAGGGGAGGTCTCATCCCAGTCAATGACCTTGGTGAGTATAGGTGTTGAGGCCCCAGGAGTGGTGCTGGAGGACAAGATGGGATTGGAGGTCTGCTTAACTGGTTCATACTGACAGATCTCTGAGGGGAGGGGAAGGGCAGGTATGGAATTGATCCACCAAAGAATATGTATTCAGGGGGGAATGGGAGAGATCTATAATACTATGAGTAATAAAAATTACATATATTTAAAAAAAATTTAAATACTATAGCCCAGCTGGTGTTGCTCAGTGGTTGATCATCGACCTATGAACCAGAAGGTCATTGTTCTATTCATGATCAGGGCACATAAATTGAATCCAGGCTCATTTCCCAGGAAGAATGGAGGTACAGGATGCAGCCTACCAGTGATTCCCTCTCATCATTGAAGTTTATATCTCTCCTTCCTCTCCCTTCTTCCCTGAAATCAATTAAAATATTTTTAATGTATGATTTATATCCATTGTACTTAAATCAAATTTTAAGAAGGTTTAAAACTTGAGGATCCCAATAATTTTACTATGTTATTAGGAAAGTTCTGTAGCATATTTGCTGCTACTGTATCAATGTGTTGGAAATAAAATACAATGATGTGCTACTGAAATATCGTATCATGTCCATGATCAGTGTTATCATTTTGGCATTTTAAAACTGACCATGATGAGAGTATTTACACCAGGAAATAGACAAATACTATAAACCTCCATATTACTTAATATATTAATGAATGCTTAGACTTAATAAGAGTGGCTCTGAATGTTAACAATGCAGATTAAATGTATAAGTATACGGTATAAGTTGACTTCTGTTGTACATAACATTAAACCTGAGTAAAACCATTTTCCTTCCCGGATTCAAAACTGATGATCCCATACAGCAAAGAGTCACTTGAGTCACTGAGGAATGAGGGAAATTTAAGCACATGTCTTAGATGCTGCACAGTCCTCTTTCAGTTAAAATAATAAATTTATTTAAACAATTTGAAAAGGATTATCAGCAGACATTTTAACAAAGCAGATAAAGACAGTGCAAAGAAATGTATGAAAAACTGTTCACCTTAAAAAATTCTTAGGTAGATGGAATTACAACGAAAGTGAGTTACCAATATATGCATTTCCCAGGGTTACTGTTTGAAAAGGTTAACCATTGTATGTCCTTTCAGGGTAGCAGAAAAACTGGAATTTTTATATACTGTGGGTTAGAGGGAAGGCAAAGGGAATGACCATATTGGCTCACAGTTTTGCATATCTTAAATGTAAAACATTAATCTACACAACATTTTGATGGGTAAAACATATGTCTAAATAGAGAACTGAATGCAAATATTCCCAGAATATTTATTTATAATACCCCAAACCAGGAAATAACAAAAACATAGACAGATCAATAGATAAAGTGATTATTTACAGAACATAGTACTATTCAGAATTAAATAAACTTTTCACATAAGCATTAGGGTTGAATATCAAAATAACAGTATAGCATGGAGGAAACCAGAATTTGTTAAAGAGTACACATCAAATAGTGCCTATAAAATTATGAACAATATGAATGATTCTATTGTAAAAAAAAATCCATGACTGCATGGAGGACCAAGAAATGCAGAAAGAGAGATTATAACAGGGTATTAGGAAAATATAGAATGTGGCAAAAAGTAGGTTTAGAGTTGTTGCTATAGAAAATAATATATTAATGAATAACAATAATACAGGAATAAACTCTGCCTCATTCAGTTTCCTCAGCTGGTTGGGTGTCATCCCATTCACTAAAAGGTCTCTGGTTTGATTCCAGATCAGTGCACATCCCCAATGGATCCCCAGTAGGGGACGTGAAGGAGGCAGCAGATCTATGTTTATCTCTCTGTTCCCTTTGCTTCACTCTCCCTCCCCGAAAATAGAATAAAAGTATTTTCTAAAATATTTTTAAAAGAATAATCTCTGTGTTTTTTGACCTTAAAACTGTAAGCCCATTAGTGCCCCATCCTGTGTATGAGTTACAGGTGGTTTTATTTCACATGTGACAGTTTCACAGTTTTATCTCTATGTCAGGGCTCACCAAATAGCACACATGAGAAAGGTGTACTTTGTTGCATGTCAGTTCTCATTTTCTGCAAATATTGGCAAGTAGTGAAGACTATTGCCATTGGAATCAACAGGAATGCTGACTGGTTTAAAAAGATACATCTGGCCGAAACCGGTTTGGCTCAGTGGATAGAGCGTTGGCCTTCAGACTGAAAGGTTCCAGGTTCGATTCCGGTCAAGGGCATATACCTTGGTTGCGGGCATATCCCCAGTAGGAGATGTGCAGGGGGCAGCTGATCAATGTTTCTCTCTCATCGATGTTCCTGGCTCTCTATCTCTCTCCCTTCCTCTCTGTAAAAAATCAATTTTATATATATATATATATATATATATATATATATATATATATATATATATAAATAAAAGTTACATCCTAGGACTGAATACAGCATTATGCTTCCTCTAGATTTGAGGTCTTGCTTGTTGAGCAATAACCTTGAGGTGAACACCATAGAGGGACTGGGGGAATCCACAAAACCATTAGATTATTTTCTCTGCCAGTGACTTCAGCTACAGGAAATAGCAATGGAGGTCCTCAGAATGTCCTCAAATATCACACAAACCACAGGCCTTGGAGTAATTTTGTATTTATGTCCAGAAGAGACACTTTTCATCTAGTTTAACTGCAGTGTCTCCCATGACTATGCAAACAGTGTTTATGTCCCAAGTAGAGGCCCGTCGCAGGAAGATTCCTGCAAGAATAGGGCTTCCTGCGGCTGGAACGAAGCAGAGAATGGAGCAAAACCCACTGAGGCAAGTTTCCCCTCCTGCTCCCAGCAGCTCCGGCTGGGTTTCCCCTCCAACTCCCAGCCACTCTAGCTGGGTTTGCCCTCCCGTTCCCAGCCACTGTGGATGCCATTCCCCTCCCGCTCCCAGCTGCTCAGGCTGGCTTTCCCCTCCTGCTCCCAGCCGCTGTGGCTGTGTTTCCCCTCCCTCCTCCTGCCTCCACAGCCGTGGCTCCGTTCTTGTCTCCGCCTCCTCTACTTTGCTCCCTTCTGTAGCACTTCGCTTCCATGTTGTCTTCAGTCTTCATTACCAGCCGGTATATGCAAATTAACCGCCATCTTGGTTGGGGAAATTTGCATATAGCTGCTCTGATTGGCTGGTGGGTGTGGCTTAAGGCATAGAGAAAGTACAGCAATTTGCATGTTTGTTTTTTATTAGTGTAGATACTAATTCCCCCTCAGAGTCTTACAACAATTGACACCAGCCTATGAAATCTCATACATCATGACACATGGCCTCATTACAGCACGTGGACAGCAGTTCCCCTAAACATTGCTGACACTTTATTAATAAATACTGTGAACAGAGAATATAATTCATATTGTTCACAGAGCACAATAAACACTGCCTATTCAGGGTGACCAATGACCTCTATGATAAAAGAGGCACCAGACACCAAATAAGAACCACAAAGTCATGCACACTTTCTCTCAAGGCCTTGGTCAGCAATACAAAATCAGCTAAAATTGAACAAAGAGTGATTTTCTGCCATCAAGTGGTGCCTTCAAAAGCACAGAAAGTTTGGGACCCACCATATCTGTTCACCTGTCCATGCTAACATATCACTACTTTCCTTTCAATCATCCCAGGGAAAGAATACAACCAACAAAATTAAAGGTACCAAAGAAAAAACACCTTTACATAAAGATCATAAACCAGAGCAAAGGACAGCAAGAGGTTTTCAGGATGGTGAATTGGAACCTGAAACAATTCCCCACAGCATAAAGTGAGTACCACAATGTCCCTGAAGAGGTAGCACTTCTTAGCTGAGGCAGGGGACTTTTGACAAAACCTGGGTCATATAAATTCTCTAGTCAGACAGAAAGAAATGAAGATCCAGCCAGAAGCTAGGAATAATCATGATATTCTCAAGCACAACCCCAGAGTCTGCAGAGGCTGTGAGTGATGCACACTCTAAAGGTGAGCCAGGTGGTAGGAGTGAAATGGTTTCCCCACAAATACTCGCAGTGACATCAATCAGGTAGTAGGACTGAGTGGGTTAGCAGGTGCGATGCAGTTTCTGAAAACCTCTATTGTATGTTAAACTAATAAGGAATTTATCTAGCAGTGTATGTTCTGAAAAAAGGGATTCCTGTTCAGGTAAATGCGTGTAAAGTTTCTCCATTGGTATTGTTATTCTGGGTGAGAAAGATAAAAAATTCCCTGCACATTTAAAGCTTTTCTCCAGTGTGTACTCTCAAGTGTTGAAGGAGGAAAGATTTGTAGCGAAAAGATTTCCCACATTCAATACACTCACGAGTTGCTTTTCCGGTGTGAATTCTGTGGTGTCGAATGAGAGTAGAGCTTCTGCTAAAGGACTTTGCACAATCACTACACTCATATGGCTTTTCTCCAGTGTGAACTCTCTGATGTTTATTGAGAGCAGAGGTTTCCCTGAATGACCTCCCACAGTCACTACACTCATACGGCTTTTCGCCAGTGTGAACTCTTTGATGTTTATTGAGATTAGAGATTTGACTGTAGGACTTCCCACAGTCACTACACTCATACAGCTTTTCTCCAGTGTGAACTCTCCCATGTTTATTGAGAGTAGAGATTTGCCTGAATGACTTCCCACAGTCACTACAGTCGTATGACATTTCGCTAGTGTGAACTCTCTGGTGCACTGTGAGATTGGACTTTTGCCTAAATGATTTTTCACAATCATGGCACTCATATGCCTTTTCTCCAGTGTGAACTCTCTGGTGTACAGTGAGGATAGACCTATTACTGAAGGACTTCCCACAATCACTACACTCATAAGGCCTTTCTCCAGTGTGAACTTTCTGATGTTTATTGAGAGCAGAGGTTTGCCTGAATGACCTCCTACATTCGCTACACTCATAAGGTTTTTCTCCAGTGTGAACTCTGTGGTGCATAATTAGGTAAGAGCTTTGACTGAAGCCTTTCCCACAATCACTACATTTATGAGTCTTTCCTCCAGTGTGAACTCTCTTGTGTCTAAAAAGGTGGTAACTGCGCCTAAATGATTTTCCACATTCACTACATTTGTAAGGTTTTTCTCCAGTGTGAACTCTGTGATGTTCACTGAGGGAAGACCTTTGATGGAAGGACTTCCCATGATCAGTACACTGATAGGACTTTTCTCCAGTGTGAACTCTCCTATGTCTATTGAGGTTAAAGATACATCTGAAAACTTTCCCACATGTATTGCACTCATATTTCACTTCTCCAGAGCAGACGCCCTGATGTTGAACAAGGTTCTGGTGGTGGCTGGCTGCGTTTTCACATTTATTGCATTGGTGATGCCTGTTTCTATTGAGTAATTCCTGTGAAATCGCACTGCCACTGTGTGGCTCCTCAGTGCTGAGAGTGGCCTGGTTCTGGAGAAGTTCTGAGACAGCTGGGAAGTCTTCCCCAACCTCCCTACTGGTTGAAGGCAGCCCTGGTAAGTAGAAGCTGAACCTGGTCACAAATGAGGCCCTGTCCACAGCTCCTTTCCAGGGCTTCTCTCCACTGGCTTCCCTCTGTTGCTGGTGAGGGTTTGCACTGAAACAAAAGCCTCTCACACATGCATCACTGAAAAAGGCTTTCTGCTCAAAGTCTGCTGCTTGTGACTCAGGCAGGTCAGAATATCTTTTAACACAGAGAAACACCTCCCACAGAGATGGCTCTTCTGGGTTGCTGAGGCTGTCTTAGAAGCCCTGACCTGTGACTCTCCTTCTATGGATACATTCTGCTCTGAACAGGCCTCCACATCATCTGTTTTATGCCAACAACCTGAAAACAGAAAAATAGTGCCAAAATGAATGTTGACTGTGGTGCAAAATATAAACAAACATGGCAAGCACCACATGGAATAGCAGGTGGATCGTCTGCTCATTCTTCTGCTAACAGTGTTCAGCTGGGCTTGTTTGCTGGTGACACGGGCAAGCTGTGCAGATGGTTGCTTACATCTTATTCCAAGTAAAATACAAGAAATGAGGAAGGTGTGTTGAGGACTACGTAAGCACGTGTGTGCATCTCATAACACATGTGCACGTTAATATTAGAGAATACTGCAGTTAGAGCCTTACAAGTACACAGGGGATGCAAAAAGGCCACAGAGGTAAAGGTTGCTAAAATCCAGGAAGTCACAGATGAAAAGAGAAGTCAGCAAAGTGTCAAGCATGGGAATGAAAAGGTAGAAATGAGCTGTTGCCAGTGGCACTTGAACCTAAACTCTGTTGGACATGAGCAGGTTCCTGGTATTCTCTAAACAAAGCCCTTAGGACAGAGCTCTTCCAGGTGCACCTCAACCTGGCTCGACTACCTCTTAGATCATTGGTTCTCAACCTGTGGGTCGAATGACCCTTTCCCAGGGGTCACCTAAGAGCATCCTGCATATCAGATATTTACATTACGATTCATAACAGTAGCAACATTACACTTATGAAGTAGCAACGAAAATAATTTTATAGTTGTGTCACAACATGAGGAACTGTATTTAAAGGGCCAGAAGGTTGAGAACCACTGTCTTAGATCATCCTGCAAGTTCACCCTGTGGGGGAAAAAAACACATGCAAAAACTTGGGTTCTCTTTGCACCTTCTACTGTACAAGCACATAAAACACAAATATTCTGACTTTTACTGAAAGACAACAGAGGTGAGCAGCCAGCACTGTCTCTGATCAACACAGCATGTAATAGTATCCAGGTAACAGAGTATTACAAACAATGGAAGGAATGTCTTACAAGAACTGCCCGTGGTTCATTTAGGTAAAGACCATAACCTGGCATAATCACAAACAGCCTTTAGCTGAGGAAGGGGTCAGAAGTGGCAGCCATGCATGTGGACATAGTCCCCCTCACAGGAAAAGAAAGTTCGAGGTGGGACCCATTAAGGATTCTGCAACAATCCTGATTCCCGAATACTTCCTGCACTATTTGAGGCAATGGGTTTGAGGGTTATTCATGGAGTCCTTTGCTCAGGGATCTCCACAAACCACAAGTCAGCACTGGAAGGCACAGCACATTTACAGGACAGCTGGGGAAACTAGTCCATGGTCTGGCTGTGGGAGAGAGAAAGCTACATTTGGAAAACAAAGGAAGAGAGGACATCACCTCAGGACACTAGGAGAGATGTGAAGGTCTTACCTACAGATGACACCAGTTCAAACACTTCCAGCATCACATCGCAGTACAGAAGTCTATGAGCCTCATTAAGGAGCCCCCACTCCTCCTGAGAGAAGGCAATGGCCACGTGTTCAAAGTTCATATCCTGTCATAATGAATACAGTTCAGTCCATGATCCGCTTCTCTCCTGGGCTTTAATTTCATCATACTTCCCACTCTCCATATCCATCTGCTCCCTCAACACCTGACATCAGAAAAGATACCAGGCATGGGTCCCATCAAAGTCACTCTTTCCTTACATTCCTACTGATACAGTGTTTTCCCACAACAATAAGGGCAGATGTCCGTATAGATGATACCTTTGCTCTGGGACTCACATGGAGGCCACACTGTTCCTTGTCAACACAGTGGGTGTCATGAACATAGGGTGGGGAGAGATGTTGTCCATAAGGAGACTGTGAGTGATTTGACACTGTTCCTGTTAGGCAATAGCCTTGTCGTCACCCTCCCCATTCTAATTTCAAACCCAGAAAATTATGGCATCAGACTTCAACCTTTTGAACCCAATCCCAGGGTGCTGAGGCCATCACTTTGCACTACCTGCTGCACATAAGTCTTTGAACCACACCTCTCACACAGCTTCATTCCCAGAGGCACAACGTGAAACGTTACACAAATTGGCCATGACGAGCACAGTTTGTTTTCTTTTTTTAAAAAAATATATTTTATTGATTTTTTACAGAGAGGAAGGAAGAGAGATAGAGAGTTAGAAACAATATCGATGAGAGAGAAACATCGATCAGCTGCCTCCTGCACATCTCCTACTGGGGATGTGCCCGCAACCCAGGTACATGCCCTTGACCGGAATCGAATCCGAGACCCTTCAGTCCGCAGGCCGACGCTCTATCCACTGAGCCAAACCGGTTTCGGCCACAGTTTGTTTTCTATTTATCTTATTTTCCAAGTGTTGAATTCATCACCTCTGTAATTTATTTCTCTCTCACCCTTCTCCAAGCTAGTGGATATTTGCAAGCCCAGATGACACTGATGTATGCTACCTCATTCCTATTGATCACTGTAAAAGACCTCAACAACAACAGGCAGGTGTGCCATAAATTTCTCCTAAAATATGAACCAGGAATATACCACCAGAACACACCCTCTTTTCAGGAATTGATCCAAAATTCATCATATCATATTATCCAGACGTCACCAGAAATGGTCTCAAACTTCATTCCCTCTTATGTCAATGTTAGGTACCTACATGCATGAATGCACAGGCCCTCTCCAAGGGCACACTCTTTCTCACACACCTCTCTCACACCTGCACTCCCACACCCACAGCCTCCATAGTCATATCCTTGACTTCCTACTCATTACTCAGCATGTGTGATGTAGTCACTGCTTGGCAAATCCAAACAGGATTAAGTTCTATAACAACTCTGAGAATCCACACTCATTGACGCAGCCTTGAGTCCTGCTATGAAGGCTTCCTTCCCTGATTGTGTTTTCCTTCAACCTCATCTATTGAGAACCACATCAGGTCTCATATATCCAGACTCCACCTCCACTGGTGCTGCACATTATCTCCCTTCTCCAATCACAGCCTTCAACATTCAAGTCCCATCACCTAAGGCCCTCTAGCCCTGCCCAGTGAGTCTCACAGATGACCACTCATGCCCCTAAGCAAATCAACCAGACTGAGTACAACACCCCAGACAAAGCTCAATCAAAATCTTGGTGTGCCCTAGCCAGTTTGGCTCAGTGAATAGAAAGTTGGCCTGCGGACTAAAGGGTCACAGGTTCAATTCTGGCCAAGGGCACATGCCTGGGTTGCAGGCTCGATCCCCCCCCCCCAATTAGGGGTTGTGCAGGAGGCAGCCAATCAATGATTCTCATCGTTGATGTTTCTATCTCTCTAGCTTTCTCCCTTCCTCTCTGAAATCAATAAAAATATATTTTTTTAAAATCCTGGTGTGTGTTTAACCAGTAAATATGCAACAGCTGAAGTCTCATCTTGTTTAAATTGCTCTTTGGTCTTCAATTAAAAAAAAAAAAGATGACCTACAACTCCACCCTGGTACCTACATTCCCCATACCATTTTTTAAAAATATATATTCTATTGACTTTTTACAGAGAGGAAGGGAGAGGGATAGAGAGTTAGGAACATTGATGAGAGAGAAACATCAATCAGCTGCCTCCTGCACACCCCCAACTAGGGATGTGACCGCAACCAAGGTACATGCCCTTGACCAGAATCTAACCTGGGACCCTTCACTCTGCAGGCTGAGGTTCTATCCACTGATCCAAACTGGTTAGGGCCCAATACCTTTTAAATAAATTTTCATCCTGAACTGTTTGTCAGAGTTTCAGACACTCATGAACTGCTCTCTGAAATATCCTAAACCCTAAAAGGTAAAAAAGAAAAGTTTTGGTATTCACAATGAACATCACACTTCCTACTATGAATATCTACCCGCATCTCAGTTGATGCTTCCATACCTCCAGTTGCCAAATGCAAACGTTCATGCCATCCCTGACTCTTATCTTCCACTCATCCTCAAAATTAGAAAAGCCAGGTGGCCACACACAAAACACTGATCCAGAATCCAACTGCTTATTTCACCTCCACAGACACCATCATGGGCCAGTTACCTTCACACTCACCCAGACTATCACAGCTGCTTCCTTCCTCGTCTTTCCACCACACCCCTCATACCCTATAGTTCATTATGCTTCAATCAAGGGGGTGTAATGAGATCTGGGCCAGATCACCTGCCTCCACTGCTCCAAATCTCCCATTGCTCCCATCACCTGCAGAACAGACTCCCAAGTTGTCACAAAGCTCCTCTAGACCTGACTCCTATCCATTTTACCACTTCCCTTTCTTTTAAATAAAAAAGGATACTATAAAGTCCCTCCACAAACCCAGTCTTTACTCCAAGCCTTTGCATATTCTAGAACATATGCCTGGGAGGACTTCTCATATCCCATTCCACTGGTTGCCAAAAACAGAAACTACTCATATATTCAAACACAGGACTTAGAATTCTGGGCTTGGTGTCTCTTCAAGGTCCCCACCTCCAATGGCTGGGAGAGTGGCTGGACAGTCCCAGAAGCCATAAGAGTGGGAAGCCCTGAAATAAGCTCCACAAACGAGTCCCCCTAAGTGGTTCTGCATTGGCAGGAATCTGTGGAAACTAAAGGTCTGTTGAGAGCCAGGCAACTACCACCAGGATCCATGAGTTGGGCTGCCCAGCCCCAGGGTCAGGTGACTTTGAGATGCCGGCATTACCTCAGGGCTCGGTCCTCAGTGCACACTCTTGCTAGGTTGCTATATTTTACAGGACTTCACCTTCCTGTCCCGAACTGCTGTCCTCTCTCCTCTAGTCAGTTCTTCCTCTGAGCAGTTTTTAGAAAAGTTTAGAACCCTCCCTCACACAATGGCCCTCATTTGTTCACAGCCATCAATGGCAGCAGCTTCCTCTAAATGAAGGAAAAACTCCTCACCCAAAACTCTGCTTCACCTTCTTTGTTGACTTTTGACATTAAACAGATCTGGTGTCTGGAATCCTCCCAGGTGAGCCACCCCACCACGTCCTTACTGGCTGGCATTGCAGTCTGTCTCCCTCTTTCACCGTGTCACACCGTGCGTCATCCACCTGAGACTCACTCTTCCGGGTACAGTGACCTAGACTGCAGGACTTGACAGGCTCCCTCACCAAGCCTGGAGCTTATATGGCGTGAGGCTGAGTGGAACTCTGTAAGCAGAGAGGAGTCTGGGAAGCAAAGAGGCTTCAGTTGCACCAGTGGCTGCTCAGCAAGCTTCAGACACACCCTGCAGAGCGGGGACACTGCCTCTGATGCCTCAATGTAGTTTAAACCCCCAGTGCTGGAGCCTCTGGCTATGGTAACAGAATAAAGAGGTCAAAGGGACCACCGGGAGAAAGACCCCGGAAGTCACAGCCAAGCGATGAGCACGGCATTCCTGGGCTTTCATTGGCTAAACCAGCCATCATTAGGCGCATTGCCTGTTGGGTAATGTACTTTTGCAGGCCCAACAGGTGGCATTAGGATCCTAATTACTCGCTGACCATTGCAATATTGGCTATGGGGCACCTGATCCGCGCTGGGAAATGACAACCTTAGGTTTTAATGGCTGGTTGCAGGTTTCTAGGGAGTGTTGTCTGCAAATGAACTCTTGTTTGGAGACATTATTTCAGATTCTGTGAAGCTCAGAATGCTCCCTGAGGTGAAAAGTATTATTTTACTCATTCCTGAAGACTACAGATCTAAATGAATACATACATATATATATATATATATATATATATATATATATATATATATATATATATCTACACTAATAAAAGAGAAACATGGTAATTAGCGTACGACCGCTACCCTTCCCATTGGCTAATCAGCATATCCTTATGCAAATTAACTGTCAGCCAAGATGGCGGCCGGCAGCCATGCACTGAAGCGAGCAGGGAGACTGGCTTGCTTCAGTGACTGTGAACTCCAATGTTCCCCGCCTAACTTGCTGGCCTCTCAGCTGCAACTCTAAGCAACTATGTACTATGTTGCAAATAAGAAGCTAAACAAAACCCCAGAAACCGGCTTTCATTCAGCCACGCTTCAGCCAGCCTGTCCACAACATTGTATGGATGTTTTCAGCAGCGAGGCCTCAGAGCTAAAGCTGGCCCAGAATAAAAAAAAAAGAAAAGAAAACAAGGAGCGGTTGGGAGCTTCAGTTACTCGCCACCCGGAAAACAGCCCTCAGCCCCTCACCCAGACTGGCCAGGCACCCCAGTGGGGACCCCCACCCTGATCCAGGACACCCTTCAGGGCAAACCAGCCGGCCCCCACCCATGCACCAGGCCTCTATCCTATATAGTAAAAGGGTAATATGCCTCCCAGCACCAGGATCAGCGTGACAGGGGGCAGCGCCCAAACCCCTGATCGCCCTGCAGCTCTGTGAGTGACAGGGGGTGGGGCACAACCTCCCTATCCACCCTGTTCTGTTCGTGACAGGGGAAGGTGCCCCAACCCCCTGATCAGCCCTGCTCTGTGCCTGATAGGGGGGAGCTCCCCAACCCCCTGATTGCCCTGCGGCTCTGTGTTTGACAGGGTGGGGCGCA